TTAAGAGAGAATGAAAACACAGCCTGAGGGCAGCCTAATCGGTAAAACAAAGCGAGCTGACATTTGGTGTGTGTATGTGTGTTTTTGCCCACAAGGAAAAGATAAGAAGCTGCTGACAGACAAAAACAGCCATGTAGGAATGATGGGTTCAAACAAACAACATGTCCTGTCTCTCTCTGACCTTCTCTCTCTTTTTTCTGATTGATCTGCCTTTCCCTATGGTCTCTCTTTCTCTCTGTTTACTTCACTTTTTTAACCTTAATCTTAATTCTGGTCACTCTTGTTTATCTCGCTGTATGTTTCCCATTCAATCTTTCTCACTTCCATAGGGACTGAGAGAAGTCTGCTGTGCTTTGTTTTGAAATTCCTCTCTTTGGATAACTGAAAAAGTAGTCAGTGATGGATGGACGGGTGGATGGATGGACAAATGTCTGGCGGGCTGGTAGCCTGTGGGATGTGACTGTCTGGCTGTACAGGGGAGACTGCTGTGTAATGATAACAGCACAGGAAGGGTTGCCACAGCAACAACTGGGACGGGAAACAGCCTTGAGAGATATAGGAAACGACTTGGATAAAATGGTAAGAGTATATTATCATTTGAAACAGTGAACCCTTCCCTGTGAGCATTGACACTGGTGTTACCCAGAGGGTGAAGCCACCTGACATTGGCAGTTCTCTGACTGTTCAACCAGCAGTACTATTTGTGATATCTTTGTGTTTTAGTGAACTACTGTTCGGATCACAATGGAATTTAATACAGATGTGTCCTCATAACTTTTGGTGTCTGGCCAAATTTTCCTTACAAAAGTTATGACATTGCCAACAACCTTACCTGCATTTTGTGTTTAGTGTTATTTAACCCTTTATGGGGCAAGTGACCATATTTGGTAACTTCCTTGGACGTTCAATATGTCCACCCTGTGCCTCTCCTTGAGGTTGAAGAACCATGTGCACTTTGATTTAGTTTTTATATTAGTGCCAATATCACTACCTTATGAAAAATGTCACTGAACAAATGTTCCAGGCACTTTATAAACACTTAGTTACTGGTTTGAATTAAACTCCACTTTGATTTTTTATTTTTATTTTTTTGCGATTAGTGCCAAAACCACCCGAAGAAAACTGTTACTAAATGAACTTGCCAAGCACTTTATAAATACTTTGTTACTGGTTGTGTAAGTATGATTACCTCAAACTAAAATGTTTTTAAAGAAATGTTTTTTGCAGTTTGTTACTTTTTCTTTTATATTTATTATAAATTCCCTTTTTTTTTTTTTAACTGTAGACGGGTAAGTTACCATATATGGTAACTTTATTAATCTTGATTTCCCCTGATGAATCGCCACCTTATCGTGGTGGGGGGGTTTGAGTGTCTCTGTGATCCTGGGAGCTATGTTGTCCGGGGCATTAGCCCCTGGTAGGGTCTCCCAAGGCAAATTGGTTCTGGGGGAGGGACCAGACAAAGAGCGATTCAGAAGACCCTGATGAACAGCAACAAAAGGAGTGCAACCACCTTGCCCGGAAGAGGGGAACCGGGGCACCCCCCTGGAGCCAGGCCTGGGGCGGGGAGCTCGCCGGGGAGTGTCTGGTGGCCGAGCCTTGGGGCCCCGTGGGGCTCGGTCGGGCACAGCCCAAAGAAGCAACACAGGGCCACTTCCCAGAGGACCCACCACCCTCAGGGAAGAGGAGCGGGGTCGAGTACTTTGCCCACTGGGTGGTAGGCAGGAGCGGGCGTCCTGGCGTACCGCCCCCTGGTGAAGTAGACTAGCTCTGGGGACATGGAATGTCACCTCACTGGCGGGGAAGGAGCCTGAGCTGGTGCGGGAGGTGGATCGCTCCACGCACAGCAAGAGCTCCGGAACCATACTCCTGTAGAGGGGTTGGACTCTCTCCTTTTCCGGAGTTGCCCACGGTGAGAAGCGCCGGGCGGGTGTGGGCATACTCACAAGCCCCCAGCTGAGTGCTGCCTTGTTGGAGTTCTCCCCGGAGAACGAGAGGGTCGCCTCTCTGCAACTGCGTGTTGCGAAGGGGAAAACTCTGACTGTTGTTTGTGCTTATGCACCAAACAGCAGTTCAGAGTATTCGGCCTTCTTGGAGTCACTGGGTGGTGTCCTGGAAAGGGTGCCACCTGGGGACTCCATAGTTCTCCTGGAGGACTTCAATGCTCATGTGGGCAATGACGGTGAAACCTGGAGGGGCGTGATTGGGAGGAACGACCTGCCTGATCAGAATCCGAGCTGTGTTTTGTTTTTGGACTTCTGTGCTAGCCATGGATTGGCCATAACAAACACCATGTTCGAACATAAGGTTGCTCATAAGTGTACTTGGTACCAGAGTACCTTAGGCCAAAGGTCGATGATCGACTTTGTAGTCGCATCATCAGATCTGCGGCCGTATGTTTTGGACACTCGGATGAAGAGAGGAGCAGAGCTGTCAACTGATCACCACCTGGTGGTGAGTAGGATCCGATGGCGGGGAAGGCTGCCGGACAGACCTGGTAAACCCAAACGTGTAGTGCGGGTGAACTCGGAATGCCTGGCAGAGGCCCCTGTCTGTGGGGTTTTCAATTCCCACCTCTGGAAGAGTTTTTCCTGCATCCCGGGGGAGGTTGGGTACATGGAGTCAGAGTGGTTCATGTTCAAAGCCTCCATTGCAGAAGCAGCCGTTAGAAGCTGTGGCCAGAAGGTCACAGGCAGAGCTGGAAAGTGTCGCCGGGGGGAGGGAGGTCTGGGATGACCTGCTCCGCCTACTGCCCCCACGACCTGACCCCGGATGAGCGGAAGACAATGGATGGATGGATGGATGATTTCAACATTTTTTTTTTTTTAAGTCACAGAAGTAAAAATATCTTGAACCCTAGGGTAGAAATTTTAATTTTCCATGTATTTCAAGGAGTGCCCTATAAAGTGTTAAAGGTATTTTCAGCAAATTATTGAAAGCCTTGCATGCAAATTTGCAGCTCAAAACACTGCAAAGATGGTTAATACCACTACCGGGATTGCACAACCACTAGTTTTAGCTCTGTTCAAAATAGGCTGTTTAGTCTGCCCCTTTACATACAACCAAGCGGCTGTGGCTGTCCACACCCCTTCAGGAAGAAGACTATCTCTGAGTCTGAGTGTGACAGTGCAGGGCAAAACAGATAACTGCCCAGTAACTGACATGGATGTAAACAAGTATGTGAGACTAGGGCTTTCTATGACTTTGAACTTTCACTCTGAGTGATCATTTTACATGAAAATGTCCCCAAATTCACAGCACATTTGTTGCTTTCAACGCATGTGTATTGTGAGTTTGTCAAACAATGTTGTGATTATAAAATCAATATTTTATGATGCAGAACAGCAGTTTGAAAATGGCACGGAAGATGCTGCTGGCTAACACATAGTCTTAACAAGCTCAGTGTCAGTCACTGTTTCATTATGAAACAGAACGACATGTAAGTGACAACAGCTTCACTGGGAATTTGAATGCATTAAAAAGCAGTTTATGTGAGCAATGGAAAAGCAAATAGACGTAAACAATGGCTGAATAAGCATAACACGTGACTTGAAATAATATTATCCCATGTCCAGTCCTAGTTTCAAATCAGTTTCCACTGAGCTCTGACTTGTGGATATACGATCAAAGCTAATGTAAAGTTTGTCACATTGGCCGCGCAACATGCTACACTAAGGAGGTTTTCTGTTAATGTAGTGCAGGGGTGTCCAATCCTGGTCCTCGAGGGCCACAGCTCATCATCAAGTTCTGCAGAAGTCTGATAACGATCCTGATCATTTGAATCAGGTGTGTTGGAAGAGGGAAACATCTAAAACATGCAGGACTGTGGCCCTTGAAGACCAGGATTGGACACCCCTGATGTAGTGACATTGCCATCAGAAATAATAGCAACCCAGTGGAAGTGGAAGTAAAGTCCCTCAGATACTGGGAATGCATGCAGACTCATGTGTTCACTCTTGCAGCCAATAGTCTGCTTTTGGCTCCTTCTGTCTGTGCTTGTCACTGAGACATTTTAGGTGGAAGTAAATGTTTTAATATCTTAACAGCTTTTACTTTACACCGCCAAGTTTATAGTAACCACAAAACACAACAAAAATTGGATTTTCGCCATATGGGACCTTCACCAATCATTAGCATGCTATACAACAACCAAGCCAAATGTATGCAGTATTTTAAAAAAAAAGCATAATCTTTGGAGAAAAAAAAAAAAAAAGGCCACAAAATCGGTGTGCATGAAATTCCGTGAAACATTTGTAAAATATACAAAATGTTAGAAAACATTACCATAATAAAATACATTAGTACAATTTGAGGGCATTTGAGGTGACATGTGCTCCCAGCAACTGCTAATTCACCTCTGTGACAACTGATAATAACCACAACTGATTGGTTTGGGCAGAATAACTCTGTTCCCGAACAGAAAGCCAGTGGCAGCAAACTCAGATTGAATGGCAGAGTGAAAATGAAATGACAGTTCAGTCTGGTTATCAGTCCACCTGAATCTTTCCAATGTGGCTGGACTGTTGCTGACTCACAGGATCACAGACCTGTGGGTGCTGCTGCTGCAAAGTGATTGTAGAAGACTATGATTAGTGGAGATTTGATTGCGTGACCCCTGCTGAACTTACTACTGATACGCTGGTCTTAAAAGTGCATTTGTGGTATCCATGGCGACCTGTGTGCTCCTTGTGTTGTGTGCAAGAATATATCAGACAACTGAGCAGCGCTCGACAAGCTCAGTGTCATTGTTCTGCATCCAAAGCCTTTCTTTTCTCTGTTCAGCTTCTTGCTCTCTGTGTGTTCACATTTAGCCACTCAGTTTTTCTCTGCATCTCTTTCTAGGTGTGCGGTGTGCACTAAAACACAAATTTCCTATTACACTGCACAGGTGATCAAACAAACCATTGTTCCATATTATATAAAGCAGAATAGAGTTAAACCCCTGACAAAAAAACATTTTTGGGTCAGAAAAAACAAAAAACAAAACCCAACACTCTGGAGGCAGTAATGCTAGAAATACTTTATTTATCAAAACCAACCAGCTGATATTTTTAATAAAACAACAGAGAAAGACAATAAATTATTTAAGTAAAGCATACAGTTTTGTCATGAATATTTTTTTTTTTTTGGAATGCAGCAAAGCAGGTTGACTTTTGTTTGTTAAAACTAACAGCAACAATTTTTCTGAGTTGAAAATATGACAGCATGAATAGAAAGAAAAATTAGACTAATATGAAAGATAATATGAAATGTTCCCGAAGTTCTGCTGTGTGGTTTTGAAGTTCTTACTTGCAGAAATACACGTGATTCCACTGTGAAGAACTGGAGGAGAAAACAAAACAACTACATGGAAAAAGAGGAATGTCACTTTGGAGCATGCAACAATGGAATGTGCTGATAACGCCAACAAACAGGATGCACACACACACACACACACACACACACACACACACACACACACACACATGCATAGACACAAACACACATCCCTTTCACATACATTTGCAATTGATTTAATTAATTATTCCTTCAGTCTATGGAATGTCCAAAAACTGCAGAAGATGATGTAATTGAATGTCCAAAAACTCACAAATAGTTAGTTTACAGTGATATATAACAAAGTAAAGCAGCAAATCCTTCAACTTTAGAGAATATTCAGAGACGATTTGGCGTTTCTATTGATCAACAATTAATGAATCAGCTTTTTCTTGTGTTTAGTTCTGAAAGTTCTTATTTGCCAAAGTAGAAAAACAAAAAAAATGACATTTTAACCAACCTGACCGTCTGGTTCGTTAGCTACTGAAAATACATTTACTTGTCAACTGTCTCTCTGTGAAATCTGAACAAATCACTCGCTTTGTGCGAGCTCTACTGTGTGTTTATGTTTGTGTTTCAAAGTGTGACACAGAATCAAGAGCAAACCTCACAAGGAAACCGAAGACAAAAGCTTGCAGCGAAACAAAGTTGCTTTTGTTAACTGAACTGCAGCCAAAAACAACTCTGTGTACGTTTGTGCGAATGATGTCTGGGATAAATTATGTGACTACTGCACAACCTGACATACTTTTGCGATATTGAAGAGTGTTTAGAATCACACACCTGCCAAATAATACCCTTGACTTACAGTAGACACATGCTCATAAAAATGCCGCTGGCACGCAGCTGATCGGGTTTCACTGTGACCAAGGAGTCGTCTCAGTGTCCAGTTATTCTTTGTTTTTTCTGCCTTTAGAACAAAAGTAGTGCGTGAAATCCCATTTTCTCTGCATAAATCCAGCCTGACTGTGTAGATGGTGAAACACATGGGAGGTGACGATGGAGAGATGACAGATGACACTGTCTTTTACTTCTCACAGCTGGATTGTGTCTATGGAACAAAAAAATGGTAAAGCAGCTAATTTGAATTCTTGCTCTATTGCTTTGATGCTGCTGATAGCTCTGATAGCTACCTACACAAGCACACAACAGACACGCACTTGTACTCACAGCCGCTCACATGCTTGTATCTGCTGCCAGACTCTCACAGACTGTCGGTAACCCTCCACCCCTGAAACAAAAGGACCTCTTCCTGAGCTGCACACACACACACTCAAGTATCAGTTGTATTTTCAGCCGAGACCGAGAACATTACTCGAAGTTCTACAGATCTCTGCAGAGTTATGGAGCAGTGGGTCAGACTGTGATAGCATTTTCAAGTGAAAGGGGGGGAAAAAAAAGCCAAAAACAGCATGCATGCTGATTGAAACCGCTGAATGGGCAGCAATCTTTCATGTGCTGTACCTTGATAGCATCTCTCTCTCTCTCTCTCTCTCTCTCTCTCTCTCTCTCTCTCTCTCTCTCTCTCATCCTGGAGTGCTGGTAATCTACAAATAGACCGCTTGATTGTCCCTTTTCTGTCAGCCACCTCTCCTCAAAAACTTCCTCTCCATCGCTCTTCCTGAGTTTCTCCCTCTTTTCCTCTGTTATGTTTTTAGGGTCCGAGGATCACAGTTTTATCCGCGTTAGCAGAATTTAGTCTAGCAGCTGGAATGCCAGGAATGCTCGGAAAAAAAACGGGCACAGCACAGCGGCATGATCTGACGTCTCCTTTGATGTGTTAGAGAAAGTGATGAAGGGATAGAGATAGAGTGTGTGTGTGTGTGTGTGTGTGTGTGTGTGTGTGTGTTTGAGTCAGTGAGAGAGAAAGAAAAGAAGCATGAGGTGTGTGGATGGATGAACAGACAACGGGAAGTGTGAATATATCCAGACAGGAATGTGTGCAAAACAAAGCAACCCTTAGAGTTCTGTAGAAATAACTAGAGTTTTTGTTTCTTAGGAAGCCTGGAGTGAATGTGAGTGTGTCAGCGTGTGATTCACAACTGGAGGGTTGAAGTTAGCCTAATTTCACATAAAGATAAAGTGTTATTTTGGTGTAAACTTCCTCCAACCCCTCTGCCTTCCTCCTTCTGTCTCATGCTCACTCATCTCAGCATGCTCCTGGCAGGAAAGTCGCCTGAAGTTTCTAGAAATAGTTTAATTCTAACACAAACAAACCGCAAATGTATACACATGAAATATGAGTAGAAGACTGTTTGAATAGAAGTTGGAGTCAATTCAATTTCAATTCAATCAAGTTGACATTCATCAAAATCCTTTTAATCAAAATGCAATTTAAGTTTAAGACAACATTGCTGGTATTTTCTCAGAATGTTGCATGAGGATCTTTTTTATACATTTCAAATGGTTTTCAGAATTTAATTTGAAAAATTTGATTGAATTCAAAGTGAATTCCTCTGGAGAAGGTTCACTGTTATTTTAGCACTTAAAGATGCACGTGTGATGTTAAAATATGGTCTAAACAGTGAAGATTTAAACACCAGGCTGCAGAAAGCTGAAAGAAATGTTTGGCTGGAAACAATAATGCTTTTAAACTTCTGGACAGAGAAAGGCTAGGAGGTTTACCTGCAACAGCAAATGTCATTGTGTATAATACGAGCGGACAGTTTATCAGTCAATTTTTTTTGCCTTCTTTGCTGCATGTTTTTCAGCGGTGCCGTTATAGTATTAGTCCATTGCAAAACAGATAAAAGAAGAAGTCATCCCACAGTTCCAGATGCACACGGCGGTGTGAGTGTCTCAGCGAGGAGGCTGGAAGGGACACGCACACTCACACGTTTCATGATGCGAGAGGAAGATTTCATCGATGACCCAGCGAACCCGAAGCCTCCGATGGCGCTGATACAGAGTGGCTTCTGGGGAGTACTTCAGCACCTAGAGGAGACGGGGAGAAAGACGGCGATGATGAAGAGGCTGAAGCAGACTGGTGGGTGCTGAACACTTTGTCAAGTCACTGCAGTTGATGGCAATGAATCCTGTTTGAGCATGACAGCGAAAATAACAAGAGAAAAACATCAGTCGTGACAGAACCCAACAGGGGTTCAACGAAAAAGAGGAACACTGTTCCCTGAGAGAAATCACAAGTGTCACTAAAACTTGACATTGAAGCAAGTCAGGGAAGTCAAAATATAGATTAGATAGTAAAAGCAAGGTTTGTAGAGTAGTTTTAAACTTTCTCTCCCCTTGTTACTCCAAACTGTCTCCACTGGAATTCCTGTATTATTTTGGCACTCATTCATTCATTCGTATTTATTTTCAGGGTAACTTGGAGCTGGAACCCTTCCCAGCAGGGAAACATCCAGGACATTTTGCCAAGGGACTCGACGCCTGTACTGCACAAGGAAAAGTATATTCAGTATCTCAGAAAACATATGTAACCAGACAGAGGACACACAGATATAATCAGACTGATTTATACCATTTTACCCTGTCAAAAAGCACATTGCGGCTCTACAAATATGAAGCCAAAAAAGGCTTAAAAGGCTCTGACAATCCATAAAAGTACTATAGAATTGATCTTATAGTTGAGTTTAGTCAGCATTTCACCATAAGTGACTTCGCTGCAGATGGCCACAATGTTCGCAGGTGCCACCTCTAATGCGAAAATAGAGTGCAAGTACAAATTGTCCCACAACCAATGCAGTGAATTTGTTCGCCAAAGCTCAATGAAAGTGAGGCTGCCAATGATTTATGTGAGGACTTCCCCGTGCTGAAACACTAGTGTGAGTAATAATGTGTTTCTTTAGTAGTTAAATCGCTGGAGGAACCAGTTGCAGTTCTACAATTGCAGGCAGGGAGAAAAGAGGAGGGTTGAAATCTCGCACAAATACACAGAAACTCATGAGAGCCCACATTCAGGCTGTTGTGTCTGCATGTACAGTACATACAGACACAATGCACCTTTATCATGCTCTCATACACAGCGACTCATACACACACATATACACATAGGACAATTACAACCCAAATCCCACTTTTGTCTAAATTCCCATTGTATGATTTTTAACAGCGAGAGAAAGAGAGACAGAGAGAGAGCCCTGTGGACCATGTTTCAATAATGAAGCTACGCAAGAACAAAGACACAAAGAGATGGAGGGAAGTGGAAGAAAAGAATGAATGACAGGCTTAAAGAACAAGAATGGTGCATTGCAAAGGGATAAATTGAAAATGGGAATTGGGAAGAATGAAAGGATGATGGAAGCCCAGAGAGACGGGAAGAGAGTGATAGAATGCTAACAATGAGCTGAGAGAGATACAGGGGGAGAGGACTAGGCCGACACAGAAACAAAACGGAGGAGAGAAGCAGGGGGAAAGTGTTGAGGCTGCTGGTGCATTGCTGCTTCATTGTTGATGCAGCTCCTGCCTCTGCACGGCCAATTTCTCCCTGCTTTTCCCTCAGTCGGCATCAGAATCTCATCCTCTCGCTCACTCGGTCATTCACTCACACACCATCTTTTCTGGTCCTTTTCAGATATGCACCTAAATTGCAGTGGAAATCTCATATGTTAGTGTCACGTTTGCATCACTTTTCTGTCGCCCTTCTGTAATACAAGATTAAGTCGACCGTTGTCACAATAACGGAAAGGCCACAGTGTTCGCCGGCATATGTGGAGAAATATTAAATGTACATCTTGTTCTGCCTTTTTCAAAACACTAACTTTATTGAAAGTGTCAGTGCCTGTGCCTACAGTGTGAATATCCAGTAAAATGTGGAATTTGGCCTCTGCTTCAGCATGGTTGGACAGAATAAAAGGTATGACAGTATGAATTAGATAACAAATAATGTAACTGATGAAGAAATTCATTTAGAGGTCCATTAGTATGCTGCCTCTACTGTGCTCATAATGGATTTTAAGTAATATGTCATTGCCAAGTAAGTTTTAAAATCACTGATAATTGAAAGAACCTTCTTCATCCTTAACATAATTACTTTCCATCTCACTTCAGTTCTCCAGCGGTGACAAAACTGCCTCTCACACACCAGGTGCCAAATATCATATGAGCCATTATGGAAAATTTACATAATGGAGACCTATGTTTAAAAGCCCAAAAGCCATTATTCATCAGAGAGATGAAGTTGACAGTGTTTTGTACTTTTCACCTTTCAGCCTCTCTGTTACCTATTCTGTCTTTCATTACTTTTTCTTTAATGAATCCTGCTGGTTTATTATGAGAAACGATTATGAGTGTAGTTAGTATATGAGTGTGCATGTCTGTGCAGTGTGCAGTCGTACTTCTGTGCCCTGTGGACGGCCACTAGATTAAAACCACCTGATATTGTGTAGGTCCCCCTCATAACGCTAAAACAGCTCTGACCAATAGACTCATGGACATGAGACCTCTGGGGGTGTCCTGTGGTGTTTGGCAGTGGATCCTTTGGGTTCTGTGGGTTATGTAGTAGTATCTTCACTTCGTCACTTTAATAATTATTATTGTTTATTGTACTTATTGTATTGTTTTTATTAAGGCACTATTCTTTAACTGTACTCTGGCAAAACAATTTCCTTCGGGATGAATAAAGTTTATCTTTATCTTTATCTTTATCTTTATCTTTATCTTTGTGGATCAAGCTTATGGATTCTCTGCATCCTGCAGATGCTCAATTAGTGTGGGACCTGGGGAGTGTGGAGGTTGGATGAATGTCCTGAGCAGTTTTTCACGTGGCATATTGTCCTGCTGGTGGAAGGCTATTGCTGCTGTTGTGGAGCACAGTTGCCATGGGAGAGGCGTGCTTGGTCTACAGCAATATTTAGATGGATGGTACACGTCCAAGTAACATCCACACAAATGCCAGGACCCAAGGCTTCCCAGCAGAACATTGCAGTGTAATAAGATGATCAATGTTGTTTACTTCACCTGTCAGCTGTTTTAATGTTGTGGCTTATCGGTGTAAAACAGTTTGAGTGAAAATATGGAAGAAAGAAAGAGCTGAGAAACTACAAATTGACGCTGTGTGGTCCGTGGATGTTTGAAGCGGGTCTTCATCTATTAAACTTACCTCGTGTAGTTTGAGTGTTGTTTTGGAGGCCTGACAGGTGCAGCCGTTATTCCAGTTATCAGTTCCGCAGCCACAGTTCCCTCCACAGCGTTTCACCAGCAGGCAGCGAGGGAAGAAGACAGCGTTGGTGGTCCTCAGCTCCTCGCGCAGGTTCACGGAGTAGTTGCGAGGAGTACAGCTGTACCGCCGGACGTCATCGTAGAGACGGTTCAGATCCACTGGACGGTGAGAGAGAAAAAGAGACAATAATAATTGATTAGTCTTTGCTGGATTTTGGACAGAGCTTTGCTTTTTACAAAGTATTTGGCCCGAACTGAGAGTTTTTTTTTCATTATGTTGTCATGGCTATCCATGTTTCTTTCTTTATTTTCATACTTTGGATCTGCTGCTGACATAAAGACTTCACCACCAGATCAACTGGTTTTGGTCGAAGTTGTGATAATGTAGTAAAACATAAAACAAACAACAACAAGCAAATTAAAGTTTTGCTGCTACAATCCAATATAACGTTTTGGCTAAGTAAGAGTGAAAGCGACAAAAATCTGTTTTGATTTCTTCAGTTATTACTTGTCTCTCGCTTCATATAATCATAAATTAAATTGTGCGGCATAGTGGAGACACAGATGGAAGAATGAAACAGAAGGAGGGCGTAAATAAGGCAAAGTGACTGTGATTTACACTACAAATATACTCAGTATTGATTGAGTGAAAATGATCGAGAGGCGGAGTTAGTTATGAGGACAATTGCAGCGACAATTGACTGTAGGGATGGAGAGACGAGTGGAAGAAAAAAAGAGCAACACAAAGATGCAAAGACAAAGAACAAAAAGGACAGAATAGGAAGCAGGGGCCATTAATTGATTGTAGATTGAATGTATTGATCACAGTCTTCATGTCATCACACTGGAGAGAAATTACCTCATTTGCGCACGAAGGACCTGCTGGAATGGCTCAAAACTAATTTCAGGAGAATTAAATGGATTATTTGACAAGTTGATGGGAAATAAGGGGCTAAAGCACTTGGCCAGAGGGGAAAAAAGAAGGAGCTCCAGAATGAGGAGTGTGATGGAAACCTGCTGGTATTATCTCTGTACCTTTCACTAGTATTGGCATTAGCAAACACGCAGAGAATGACATAACTCTACTTTGCTGTGATTGACAAGTGCTGCACATTTCTGTAGACAAGGGACAGAAAATAGGAGACCAAGACTGTGTACTGTGAGTCCAAACAGCTCTTTGCATTATTCTATGGCAATTCAGTGAGAAGACAGGTAGTCTGAGGAATGGATGAGAACAGAAAAGATAGCAGAAGAAGAGCAGCAATCAGTGGAGGATCAACTGCTGTCTGATTGTGGTCATCAGCAGGATAATAATCAGCAAATTGTCCATACCAAGAGTGGCAATTACACCTCTAGACCAGCGACCTTTTACTTGAATATACACAGCTGAGTAAAGATAAACTGGCTAAATATACGACTACAAATGGAAATGGAAGAAAGAGTTAAGTAGAAAAGTATGATCATACCATTTTAGCTATGAATACTGACTAAGAATGTTTTTGATGAATTGTTATCAAATAATTTCTTTTATGAATTTGACCAATTAAAAATATCTTCTCCCATAATTGTAGTACCTGTTTGTCCCACCAGGTGGTGTCTCTTACTGTCTGGTTCCTCGGACTGCCAGCAGTTCCGTGTTGGCAAGCAGAGCATTGTGGGAATGTGGTTAGCTTAGTAAAGTGTTACGATGAGAAAGTCTAAAGTGATGCTTAATGGTTACCAGACAGATTTTTGTTTTGTTGGAGAGTGCGTTGTGACAGAATGGCTACGAACTAGTGGATGATTATTTACGCTAGTAGAGTGGCCCGTATCGTGTGATACTGGTGGCCTGGCAAATATCATGTGACTGCATTCAAAGCAGTTTAATCAGGAAATGAATTTGTTTTGTGTTATTGTTTAATCAATTATTGGATTGATTAAGCTGCTGACTATTGCTAAAGAAAATTGTTCAAAATTTGCATCCTTGCTACTGACACAGCAGAACACCAGTAATTGATGCTTTGAGCTGCTTTGCAAAGAAATGATCCTTCTGTTTTTAAAGCTAAGAAAATCATTATATTGCAACTTTACTGGAACTACTGCGTAAACATATAGTAGCGTTGCACCAATATATTATTTTAATGTGTATATTTTATTTATATAAACACACACATCAGTATGTTTAACGTGATGATAAATAAACATTTCAGAAAACTTTTCGTTAGGATTATGGGCTCTGTAACCTCACTCTAAGAGGGACCCCCAAGAACCTGCTTGCATAGAATGAAAGACCTGAAATTATTACACAGCACCAAAGCAGGTGTATGCTATATTACAATATGGATGCAAAAGTACTGGATTAGTTTGGATACTTAATAGAATTACTATATGTGAGAACAGTGGGGGAAATCTCCACTTCTAAGAGTGTATGACCTGTTATCTGTGTGCTTCATTTTGATTTATTTACTACACTGATAAAATGAGCTGTAAAAGGTTATGAATATTCTCTTAATGATCTCCTAAGGTCCACAGGAGTCATCCATGAGCACCACGGGAGGCACTCATTGGACTACAGCCTGATGCTTCACTAGCTGCAGAGACCACTTTAAGAGAGGGTGACTGAACAGCTGCTTGGCTAAAGCAGCATGACAAGAAGAAATTGCTGATGCGTTCACCTTTATGGTGGATTGCGACTGTCCTCTGCCCAAAGCAAAGTGCAGGGAGAAAGCACTAAACTAATCAAACACAGTATAGGCTTGAGCACTCAAACCTTTTAAGCCATACCGTTCAGGCAATGATGGTGGACTGAGCCTGTTCACACTGAATAAACTGCACCACAGAGAAGAACAGTCAGGGTCCAAACCACGAGTGGCTGCCCAAGTATCGGCTTTTGCCCACCGCACTGCTAACCAGTCAATTTTCTTTTGCATGCCGTGGTTCAGTTCCCCGTTCAGGAGCCATTGGAATGACTAAATGGCTCCACTCTGATCCTATCAAAGTCGCGGACACCCTCTGTAGCACCCGTGCATACGTAGGCAGAAAGTAGAAACCCAGCATGTGCATGATGATCATATCTACAGCCAATGGAGTTAGTTAGTTGCTTTCTTCCCCAACGAGTAGTCCCTATAAAGCACCTCGAATCAATCTGAGGATGAATGAATATTCTTAGGCGATTCCTAGATTTTCCACTTCATTAAGTACAATAGGCTTTTACGACCCAACACAAGCATAAAGGACTTGTCAGGATCGATACTCGCAGTGAACTGCAACGGTGTATCTTGGCGAGACTGGCTTGTGTCCAGTCCAAGCGACCGTTGCTTTTAAGCTTTGCTGCAACACTTTAACAAGGGAGATCAGTCATGCAATAGAAACTGCCAAGAAATTGCATGTACATCGTATTAGTATAACAATGACAAATCTGCTTGATTCTGTTATATTGTGTGAGTGCATGTGTGTGAGAGAGGAAGCAACCAAAGGGAAGTGCAGTAAGGGTCAACAGAAACCAAATGCTATTGATAATCAATAAGCAATTGTTGACAAGAAGAAGTCTTTGCAGTGGGGGTTTCCATTTATGTCACACGTTAGACTCCCAGTAAACAATGAACAATAATGAAGAGATATAAGGTTTTTCCACTATTTTTTGCTGGCTAAACTATGACGGCAATCGTTTAAGTGAGCTGTGCTGCTGCAGTCCCTCGAGGTAGCAGCGCAGACGATGGCCGACCTCACCTCAAAGCCTAAACTTCTTTTCTCCTGTTGTTTCACACGAAAAGTTTTCTGCAGTAGAAGCGTATGGAGGCTTTTATTTTGAAGACTGTTTGGGAATCATTCTACCTTCGAAACAGAGCTAGCAGAGCTTCATTAGGAGTTCACTTTACCCTTATGTGTGGTCCAGTGAAAACCCACTGACAGCAAGCCAACCCTCCACAGTAGGAAAATGTAATAGATATAAAAAATTGCCCATATTTTCTGTCTTTTAGGCATTTTCAGTTACACTGCAAGCCCACAAGGAAATAAGATTAGGATTATAATGTGGAATATAGAAAAGAAAAGCTACTGTATGCACGTGTGCTGTATGTGTTTGCAGGCTCCTCTAAAATCCCTGCATTCTGTCTCGCAGACAGTCGATGTGTGCGCGTCTAAAACTAAATGAGAAGACTAAATGAAAAGTGGATTATGTCTGCGCCTGTGTGAGTATTAACAGGTTAAATGAGGACAACCGATTCAAACAGTGTGTTTGCATCACGTTTATTTTGGATGAGTGGAGACGTGACGTTTGTGGGAAAATCAGTTTACGCCTATCGGCTCATTTGAATAAACCTGCGTGTTTTTCTATAAAATATGCCGGAACAAGGATCATTTGCTAAAGGCAAATTGACCTAACACTCAATTTCTTTCTTAAGGACTGCCATGTACAGTTCTTAAATGTATTTATTTAACCTTTATCTCACCAGGTGGGTATTCAAGAACAAATTCATATTTGCAGTGACAGCCTGGTTTGAAGTTTAAAGACTTCTGGAATACTGATAGACCCCAACCATCACAGCTACAGGTAGAAATGATAAGTGATCCTTCGCACCAGTGTCTTTCATCTTTTTTTGAATCCCAGCCATTAAAATGAAAATAGTGAGGACATTGCCACTGAAGAGCTTTAAAGCAAAAGTATCATATGTGTGTCTCAGCAACAATCTCCGAAGGTTTGTGGCAGATGGATGAAAATGAAAATTTGACATGAAATTAGTTTCACGCTCACCAGCATATGTGCCGCAGCTTATTGATGTTCTATTTTATTTTATTTTTTGATCTTTTGTCATCAAAGAATAGCTCTTTCAATGATAAAAAGACAAAATACCATGTTACAGCTGACTGCAGATACATAAGCAGCTATCTTAAGCAATTTACTGATCTAAGATGTAACATCGGGCAAAGAGGACCAAGCATTAAGAATTCATCTAGACACCTATAACTACAGTACATACCTGCTAGACTGAATATACCTCTGCTTACAGCTAAATCATAAAGACACCTTCTTTTTTCTTGCATCTCTTTTTGTGAAAACTACAGGTGACAGCGAACCCATCATTTCTGCTTTTTGATTTTACTAAAGAGCCAAAAAGCAGATTTTCAGCAAGTGATGATGTCATGGTTAGTGACAGAGTTGTGTGAATGCCAGGAGGTATAAAATGCGTCTCTAACATGAGCAATGTTTGTTTAGACTTTTCAAGGTGATGCAAGGCCTGATGTAAAAGAGACGGTATAGAAGCGCATTCACCCATCTGTCGCTGTGTTGGATCTGATGGGCGCATTCAGTGCTGTCTAACGGGTAAGTGTGTTTTTGTGCACGCGGGTGAGGCGCGTGTTTGCACGAGTGGAGATGAAGGCACAGGTTGTATATGGGTGGTTATGCTGTGAGCGTGTAGGTGTTGGTGCATGCGTGGGTGTGTTTGTGTGTGTGTGTGTGTGTGTGTGTGTGTGTGTGTTTACTTGCAAGGCTGAGCTTGTGTCTGTTTACAGAGAATAAGTGTAATCTCAGAGAGGCAGTGGTACGGAACGCTGTCAGGGTGTGAGGGAAGAAAGGACAGAGACAGAAAGCGCAAGCAAGAATGACTTTGTCACTCACTCAACCACCAGTGTGAGAAAAAGTGTAGTGTCTGTGCACATGTGTGTGAAATTTACACAACATAACCTGCTCTGGAGTTTGTGCGAGTATTACTATAATTTGACTTATTTATGTGGAAGGCAGAATGTATGTGAGTTATATGGACCTAAATATAATGTTATTATCAGTCTTGCTGTCCTTCATGAGAAAAAAAAAAAGGTGGGTGTCAACCTCTATGTGTGTGTGTCTTAATGAAAACATAGCCAAGCTGCTGACTGGGGCAGATTTCTGCTCCACTACACAGGTTGAATTTCCAATTAGAGAGTGCTACACTGGTGTATCAAAGACCTGCAGCACCTACGCAGCTCTAGGTAGTCCTACAAAACTCCCTTTATGCTGTATGGAGCCTTCTCATGCCAGCTGAGCACACACATGAACTGATAAATAGAGATAGATTTGCTGTCAAGTGCAAATACTTACTAAGGAACAGGAGAGCCCTCAGGTAGAACGAGTTCAGGAGAGAGAGATACAAAAGGCGCAGGTGAGAGAGGGATGTGGTGGACTCATTCAGGTTGACTGCAAGCTTGAATGCTTTTATACGGACAAACATACACATACACACCCTCTTCCTCACATGTGTGTCTATAATAAGCATAATAATTTTCACATCTGCTTAAAGAAATCCACTCTAGCTGTGCATCCTAAGGATAAAATCTATTGCCTCAGTGACTCCAGGTCGTTGGCACCGACTTCACAGTAAAGAATTGCCTTGAACTGGTCCTGTCTCGCCTTAAATCTGCCATTGACTCACCGAGAGACACCCCCAAAGGGGAAAACCACTCATTTGATGATGCAACAACTTATGACAGACAATGTTTTGGCACATAATATGAACAGGAGCTGTTTTATCCACAATGATCTTTTGTATTTACTAGAGATGCGCCGATCCGATACTGG